CCTACTTATCCTCACATCAAGGCAAATGGTTGCTTAATGGGGCCCAGATTGGAGCTAGGACTGGAATTAGGATTCTTTAATACTCATATAAATAGACTAAACATTCATGCCTCTTTTTCCATGCCACTTTTCCATATTAACAAAACATTACTTTTTATCAAAATCTGAAAAGAAAATACATAGATAAATCAGCTTCAGTAGTATAAAATTTCAGCAATGCCTGATTATAGGGCTGATTCTGTGAAAATCACGTACCACCTAGACATCTAGAGAAACCTGTAAACTTACTGATAAAATTTCTAGAGACAAAACAGAATTTACTAAAAACCAGTCTTCTGTTTTTTAATATTCACCCCATGGATGCTCTGTAACAATTTGTTTACTGACTAGCTTTTCCTAGATATGGAAGCTGCTTGAATTCTATCTAAAAATTGGAAGAAAGCCCCTTAAAGAAAGAGGTACTCACAAAATTTTCCAACACAATGTCCCAGTGGCACAACGACTGAGAAATTAAAATCAATGTCTTGATTTTGTTCTCAGTTTTGAATAGCCAAGGAAGGCAGGCCTTGAGAAAATCAGTATTTCAGCACTCTATGGAATCCTAAGGAACCACTTTTCAAAGTGATTCTCAAAATAAATAGAAAACCAAGGTGATTCTGTCACAAGATGGTAAATACACAATAATCATGAGGAGAAAATCCTGTCACTCCAAAAAGAATGATAGCTACAAACTCTTAATTTAAATCAATTGATAAAGAAAAGACTCCAAGCAGGAGAATACAAAATATATACTTGTCAAGATGTTAGGAAAGTTTTATCTTCAGCATTATATAAACAATTTTTCAACACCAAGAAAACAGCATTCAAATAAACACAGCCATAGAAACAGATGAAGTTACAAACACACTTTCTCAAAAATCTGGTTAATAGCTACCTATTTTTAAACAAAAAATACGGAAAAGCCTCAGAGGAATATGAAACGTTTAGAATAGTGTTTAACAGCTTTAATATATGTTATTTTTATATTGAAATCACCTAATTTTCCATATTATTTATGTTTTCTTTTAACATATATAATAGCTATCTTGGTACTTGCATGCTAATTCTGTTATTTCTGTCATTTCTGGTTCTATTTTCATTAATTGATTTTTTACTCATGCTTCTTCATAAGGTCTTGCTTCTTCATAAGGTCTTGCCAATATCACTGGGTAAACTAAGACTTCCCCAAGCACTGTGTGAGCTCTGGCCATTGTTCAGCTCATGGTTTCTTTGTAGCAGTTCTTTCCCGAGTAGTTTTCCTTCATGTGGCCTTGTGAAGTGTCCTTCTGCACATGTGCAGCTTAGCATTCAACAAATAACCAAGAAAACCTCTGTGTAAATTTCTTGAGCTATTCCTCTTCAGTTTTCTTCTCTCCACAAGTCTGACCTGGAAATTCTACCTACGTCAGTGCTCCCGAGCGCCTACCTCTGCCCTTCAGGGAAGCTGCTGGGATCTGGCGGGGGCCACCTGTGCCAACCCGGGAAGGGCCCGGAACCCAAAAGTCAAGGCAGGACAGAGCTCACATCACGTTTCCCTATCTCTACAATCTGTACTGCCTTTTGTCTTAAATTTGCATATGTGTCCAGATTTTTAGCTATTTACATTGGGAAAGAGACTCTGTTAACAGTAAATTATCATGACTCTTTTTTGACATATCTTTATTGTTAAAGAAATACTTTTTTCCCCCATTGACATCCCCCTTCCACCCCACCCCCAGCCTTCACCACATTGTTGTCTGTGTCCATTGGTTATGCCTACATGCATATAAGTTCTTTAGTTTAACTCTTCCTGCCGCCCCTCCATCCCACTTCCCTCTGAGGTTTGTCTGTCTGTTCCCTACTTCCACATCTCTGGATCTATTTTATTCATCAGATTCCACAAATAAGTGAGATAATGTGGCATTTGTCTTTCTCTGAGTGGCTTATATTGCTTAGCATAACACTCTCCAGGTCCCTCCATGTCGTCTCAAAGGGTAAGAGAGTCTTCTTTTTTATCGCTCCATAGTATGCCATTGGGTAAATGGCGCAGCTTTTTTATCCACTCATCTATTGATGGACGCTTGGGCTGTTTTCAGATGTTAGCGACTGTAAATAGTGCTGCTATGAACACGTGGGTGCATATATTCTTTCTGATTGGTGTTTCAGGCTTCTTAGGGTATATTCCTAGAAGTGGGGTCACTGAATCAAATTGCAGTTCTATTGTTTATTTTTTGAGGAAACGCCATACTGTTTTCTGTAGCGGCTGCACCAGTCTGCATTCCCACCAACAATGTACTAGGGTTCCCTTTTTTCCACATCCTTGCCAGCACAAATCAACAAATCATCATGACTTTATAAATTATTTTTCAGAAGTTCTGAGAAATTTTACTTTTTAAATATAATTAGATATTTTTATGTACTTTCTAAAAAAATCATCTTAATATGCAAATTTGGGATATAAATCACCAATGAGAGTTGAATGCAGTTAATTTAATAGAGTCATCTTCTGAAATATATCTCCATGAAAATAGTTAAGTTTTATATCAGAGGTCAAAATGCAACAATAGACTAAATAAAATCAAGGAACATGAATATCATAAAATACTACCGAGTCACTAAAAAGAAATTACATTTTCTTAGTGTGAGCACACAATACAAAACTATGTACTATATGATACAAATATTTTTGTGAAGTGTGATTTTAACATTTTTTATTTATAGATTTTTTTGAAAAATCTATATTATATATAAATACATATTAATATTTATAATACATATTATTTATATCTGACATTCATGATAGCCATCTAACAGATGTATTAAAGCAAAACTTGTCTTCCATCCTTGTTTGTATATCCCACTCCACCTTACATTTCTGAGCCCCTGTTCTCTTCCTGAGTATGATTTCATAATTGCCATACAGTGATATTTCCCAAATTTCAATGTATGCCCCTCTCCTTTCTCTCAAGTTTTAATTTCATATTTCCATCTGCCTCCATTCAAATTACGTCAATATTTCCTCAACTTCAATATATCCAAGCTCAATTTATTTGGTTTGCAAACAAGTATTCCTTCCCAGCTATGTAATTCTTCTCAGTGATAACACTTTCTCTGTCTCTTAGTTTTACAATATTAATGTTTCTCCTCTCTCCTTCACATTAAATCTTTCCGTGAGTCCTTTGGATAAAACCTCTTCTATCCAGTGATTATCTCTATTGCTGCTGGTGGAAGATTTATGCATTGAGAGCCTCCGTGTATTCACACCCTTGGCCCTACGCTGACTCCATCTCTTACCAGTACGTTACTGAATCTCGGAGCCTTATATGTGATGGACGCCTTGGACTAGAGCAAAAAAGCTGAAAAACCATAAAACTACATGTTCTATACTTGCTTCTAGGGTTCTGAATATGCTGTTGGTTAAGAAACAAATGTACTCACTCACAGAGTGAGACAGGTGCAGGGCATACATTTGGTGGTTGAACATGGTTGCCAGACTGTTTTCTAGACTGTAGCAGCAGCTCCTTTATTCAGCAGTCCTGGTTATGGTGGCCAAGACAGCAATTCCTTTGCTAGCTCAGTTCTGCTGCCTGGTTATAGGAGCCATTCACAAAATAAGGCCTGGAGTCTCCTCAGCCCTCCCAACAGTTCCATGGCTCCTCGTGCATCCTTTTAGGTATAAACTGGCTGGAGTGAATTCTACTGTCTACTATTAAGAATGCCAACTAACAGTTTCCTTTAAACAACAACACTAATATCTTGAAGGGTTATTAGAAGAATTGATAGGAACAATTTAGGTAAAGCAATATTAACACATTACCAGCAGAAAAGCAGTTACTGTTCTTGTGTTGTCATTATTTTTAGCAGCATAACAATCAGAAGGGCAGGGTTTCAGTTATATCTTTAAGCATATGTTCTTTCTGCAATCTTGATCAAGTTACTTAACTGCTCTAAGGTTTCATTTCTTTATAAACTACGTAAAAAGTAAGACTACTTCATGGAGTTTTGTTAAAGTTAAATGAGAGTATATAAATAAAAATTTATTTTCTGTACTTTGTTATTCTCCACACAAATAATTTTACTTGATCAAACTAATTTCCCACCTTACTTCCTCTTTTTAAATGCCATGACCTCACCTGTTTCCTCAGAATCCTGGGCACACATCTTACCAAACACCGTGTCTCTATATCCCGTTATCCTCTCTCTTTCAACTCAAAGCCATTTTTCAAGTTGTTCCCTCTCCATGAAGTCATCGGGGACTTGCAACCTACCTAGATCCTGGAGCATCTATACATAGCACCATGAGTTCTTAAGAGAGTTTACCATGTCAGTCACTGAATTTAATTAGGTTACATAATATTTTTGGAGTATGTCATTAAATGTAAAGAACTCAGATATAAGAACTTGTTTAAAAGCTACTTAAAATTATATACATATATTTTTATATTATTAATTTTTCCTCTTTACCAAAACATTTCTATGGGAAGGGCTTCTGTTCCTTAGACATGTTTCTCATCAGTGATGTAAGACTTGACACATACGAAGGGTTTAGAGCCCTGGTTTTCAGCCTTGGGTGTGCACTGGAATCACCCGGACAGCTTTCACCACAGATACCTCCATTTAATATGAATGGCATGTGGTTGGGCAACAAGATATTTAAAAGTTAGTCAGATGATGCTCATGGGCAATTAGGAAAAACAAAACCATACTGAAGGCCATTCGTCTCGGCATCCCTTTGCTGTCACCAGGGGCACCTTTGGAACATGTGTGCAAGTACAGAAAATAGCATGTTATTATTCTGAAAACTATTTTCTGAAAATATCTTTCTCTAATTTTGGTAGGCAGTAATAGTATTCACATACATTAGAAACAAGGAATAACTAAAATAGCCTAGCGAGAAGGGAAGTGAGGAAACGGGGGGGGGGGGGGGGGGGCAGTAGTTGTAGTAACGGCACAGGAGAGCTGCAGTTTCACGTTGTAAGTACCTGATTGATGGCATCCAGATCACCAATGAAGCTATTTACTTCTGACAGAAGCAGAGGTATTATAGATTTTCTCAACAAGCTGCAACTTCCCAGGGTTACCAGACTCTGAGAGACATAATGCTGTACCTGAAACTGAAGATAAAAAAGAGTAGGTTTCTATTTTTTATCAAGTCAGGTCAAAATATATTTAGTGGGCATTTTCTAAGACTTCCCTACTGAGCTCCACGCTGTAGGGAGTATGAACAGTGTCCACATAATTCTGGGTCGGTCTCAAGCAAAATTATAAAATAGATAAATTATAATCATATAAGTAATAAAATTTTATAGAGCAGTTAATATTTTGAATTGTATGACAAGGTGCTAAAATGGAAATTTTAGCTGAAGTATCAAAAGATGATGTATCGTTGGGATGACAGAACAAGACTCTTCAGCCTGCAGCCACTAGATGTAGATGTACAGCTAGATATAGATACAGATACAGAGATGTAAATATAGACAGATAGAGAAAAGAGTTTGGGGATGTTGTTGGGGAGAGCTATTGGTGTACTCTGAGTCCCACCCCTGTGCTGGAGAGGGGCAGGTGGGGAGGAGTTCTCTAGTCTCCACAAGTCAAAATAGGCACTTTAGAGAAAGGAGAAAAAAAATGAAGGGCTCTAAATCCTCATCTAGAGACAGCAAAAGTACTCACCATTAACAAAACTAAAAGGACAGTGGAAGACAAACCATCTCACATACAGTTATTAGAAGAAAGGTCATTTGATTATTAATCACACTAAATAAGGTGTGTATCACTCATAACTGGAAAGTCACTAAATATATCCTTTAAAATACCTGGGAAAAGGAGGCTTCAAGGGGAATCTCAAACCCAGAAACAGCATCTACCTTGTGATTGTTCTATATGAGCTTAAAAGCATGTTGAAGAGACACTGATTTTATATAAACATTTTATATATAAAATGTTTAAATTATGTATTTAATGCTAAATAAATAATGCCATATGAAACATGTCACCTGTGTACTTTAGGGTGAACACTCAATGTAGATATTTCTCAAACTGACATTAAAAAAAAAAAACCTCACCCAAGGATATGTTTTTATTGATTTTAGAGAGAGAGGGAGAGAAACATTGATCAATTGTCCAACTGGAACCATATTAATAAATAATTTTCTCTTTAGAAAAAGAAAAAGAAAATGAGCATTGATGAGGACTGTGCTTTACTATATCTGTGTCATATTTCATATGTCAGCTTCGTTAGCAGTTCCTTATAACCTCATCAAATAACAGATTTTTAAACATTTATTTCAATCTCAACTATAATCAGTCTAAGCATGCTCTTCAATAAACAAGTCTCAGTAATATTACAGTCACACACACACACAAAAATTGCCCAACTGGGGATCGAAACCACAACCTAGTATGTGCCCTGACTGGGAATTGAATCTACAAGCTTTTGGTGCATAGGATGATGGTCCAACCAACCGAGTCACTGGGCCAGGGCTCAAACTGACATTTTTAAAAAATATCCTCACCCAAGGATATGTTTTTATTGATTTTTAAAGAGAAAGAAAAACATCAATGTCAGAGAGAAACATTGATCAGTTGCCTCCCACATGCGTCCAGACCAGGGGTTGAAACCACAACCTGTATGTGCCCTGACCAGCGATCAAACTGCCACCTTTTGGTGCACATGACGACGCTCCAACCAACTGAGCCACTCAGCCAAAGCTCAAATTGACATTTTAATGATATATTTTAACTTTAAATGTTAGCCAATGACAATAAGAAAGTTAATGGATTATAGAGTTCAAAAGCAATTCTTATTATAATTCTGGACATGCATAACTAGCTACTGAGTTTTCTAAACCAACTTATCAATCACATCAATATATTACCTCAGAAATCATAGTTATTTATCTTGTAGTATTTTCTTCAATATCATAGGTGAAGACTCACACAATTTGTAACTTTCCAGTACTAATCATTTTCAGATTTTTTACATTTTTATTTGTATCTGAAAAAAGCACTTAGCATAATGCCTTCAAGATCCATCCATGTTGTCACAAATGGTTGTCCTCATTTTTTTTTTATGGCTGAAATATTTCATTGTAGATGTGTACCACAGCTTTTTAATCCATTCACCCATCACTTGACACTTAAGTTATTATAAATAATACTGCTATAAACATGGGAGTGTAGACATCTTTCCAAGTCAGTGTTCTTTTTTTTTCTTCAGATAAATACTCAACACTGGAATTTCTGAATAATTTGGTATTTTAATTTTTTGAAGACCCTCTGTACTGTTTTCAATAGTGGCTGTACCAATTTACAGTTCAACCAACAGTGCACAAGGTTTCCCTTTCCTCCACATCCATGCCAGCATTTATCTTTTGTCTTTTTGACTATGGCCATTCTAACACATCTGAGGTTGTGATTTTAATTTGCATTTCCCTAATGACTTATGATGCTGAACATCTTTTCACATACCTGTTGGTCTTTTGTATATCTTGTTTGGAGATATTTGTATTCTGGTCCTTTGCCCATTTTTAATTGGGTTACTTTCATTATTTACTATTGAGTTGTATGAGTTTTTGTACATTTTGGATAATAACCCCTTATCAGGTGTATGGTTGGCAAATATTTTTTCCCATTCTGTAGGTTGTCTTTCACTTTGTTGATGGTTTCATATGCTGTGCAGAAGCTTTATAGTTTGATGTAGTCCTACTTTTTTCTATTAGGTGTCATATCTAAAACACTGTTACCAAAACCCATGTCAAGAAGCTTTATTCCTGTTTTATTGTAGAAGTTTCATGGTTTCAGGTCTTATATTTAATCTATTTGAGTTAATTTTTATGAGTGGTGTATCATTCATTCTTTATACCAAATACTAATAGTGTAGTCTATGTGCTAGTGACAGACTAGTCCCCATTAACATTCAGAATTCAGTGAAGAATAAGATTACTTTTGCTTCAGTAATTATTTTTGCCTCAGATACTTTAAAAAGCTATATAAATGCAATCCAGCTTGATCCTGATATGTAAGAATACTTTTCAAAAAGTTACAAACATGACTCTAAGATTTAGAGCAAATACATCAATGGTTTACTTATGTTATTAATGAAGATAAGGAACATTTGAGGAATTAAGTATTGATTTTATAAAAGAATACTGGAATCAGATTTCTAGGTTAGATATAAATCCAGTTAATATCTTACAGAATAAACCCCTACCATAATTTCTAGGGTTTTTCTTTAAGATTTGAGAGATTTTGCCCTGGCCGGTTTGGCTCAGAGGTTGGAGCGTTGGCCTGCGGACCAGAGAGTCCCGGGTTCAGTTCTGGCTAGGGGCACGTACCAAAAAAAAAAAAAAGATTTGAGAGATTTTAATGAACACAAATAGCTATGCCTAGTAGGGCTTATCTTTTCTACTGTACAGAAATCATATATATCATACTAGATAGAAATCTATGGGTTAATATGGAACTTCACAAACTCAGGGTTTTGGCAAAATATATTTCTAGATATTTAAATAATCTTTGGGTAGCCTGTTAGATAATGCCCTATTATGTCACTGAGAGGACAAGCAACTAACCTTTTGCCTCATTTCAAGACACTTATTTTTTTTGGTACGTGCCCCTAGCGGGAACCAAACACAGGACTCTCTGGTTTGCAGGCTGAGGCTACAACCCCTGAGTCAAACTGGCCAGGGCATCATTTCAAGACTCTTAACAATGTATTGTAACAAAAGATAAAGCAATATATTTTAATGGGTTGCTAAATTCTTAAGAAAGATAGATCCTCAGAGGCTAAAAGAAGAAAGAAGATAAAATCAGACAATGAACTTCAGAAATGGATAAGCTGGGGTTGCCTTGTTGGCAAACAGTAGTATCAACACAGAATTTTCAACTACAGACTGGGCCCTTCCAGCCTAAGAGTCCTTAGATTAAGCCTAAAGGGCTAGAAGTAGTAATGAAAGATAGGCTGGAAACATCTATCTACCGGCAAAAAAAAAAACCTTCCAAATTAGTAATAATACCAGTAGTAGGACTAGTAACAGTCACCTACCTACTACTAAGGATATGCAAAACCAGCCATGTGTACATTGGCTCTGTAGTTTAAATTTACACTTTTTTTTTCTTCCATTACCCTTTTTTTATTTATTATTTTAAACTTAGCTTTATTGTTGAATGTATTATAGATGTTCCTCCTGCCTTTCCCCACACTGTTGTCTGTGTCCATTTGTTATGCATATAAGTTCTTTAGTTTATTTCTTCCCACCCTCTCTCCCCTTCCCTTTCAGGTTTGTCAGTCTAACAACCAATTTGTACTTCTTAATCCCTTCACCTTTTTCACCCATATTCCAGGAAACCCCAAGCTGAGAAAATAAGCTAATTTATTCTTGCAAATAGTAGATGCAAATACAATACCACTCTTTCCCCACCCCCAGATTTATTGAAAGATAATTTTGATGTGCAGAAGCTTTTTAGTTTGATAGAGTCCCACTTGTTAAATTTTGCTTGTGTTGTCATATCCAAAACCAATGACAGGGAGATATTCCCTATTTTTTCTTCTAGAAGTTTTAAAGTATCAGGTCTTATGCCTAAGTCTTTAATTCATTTCTAGTTATTGTTTGTGAGTGGTGTTAAGATAGGGATCCAGTTTCATTTTTTTCTGCATGGGGTTATCCAGTTTTCCCAACACCATTTGTTGAAGAGACTATTCTTTCCCCATTAAGAGTTTTTGGCTGCCTTGTCAAAAATCAATTGGCCATATATGTGGGGGTTTATTCTTGAGCTGCATATTCTGTTCCATTTGTCTATGTGTCTATTTTTATGCCAGTACCATGCTGTTTTAATTACTGTAGCTTTATGGTATCATTTGACATCAGGAAGTATGATGCCTCCAGCTTTGTTCTTTTTAGGTTCTATTTCTGTGGACAATGTTATTAAACTCGTAATAGAAATTGCATTGAATCTATAGCTGTTTTGGGGTAGTATGGACATTTTAACAATATTAATTCTTCTGACCCATGAATATGGTATATTTTTCCATTTATTTGTATCTTCAATGTAATAGTTTTCACTGTACAGATCTTTTGCTTTGTCAGTTAAATTTATTCTTCTTTTTCAGAACAAA